ATCACTATGAGTTGCACGCTAAGCACTGACGCCCCCCCCCCCCCCCGTCAAGGGGTAGATAACATGAAGGTCACAATCATGCAATGTAAGGCAATGCTTGCAACACTGCGTCTGTGGTTCATACATTTCAAGAATTATCAATTTTGTTGTTAAATTTCTTCAGAGCTAAAATTTGACACAGACATCAAATATACAAATAAGGTGGGTGTATTTTACCTCAATATACTTATTTCAATTTCAATAAAGTGTGTTGTGTATCTAAGTGTTTTGTTGTCATGTATTCATGAGTGTTTGAGTTGGGGGATCAAGGTGTGTGGTAGGGGGTGAGGGGATGGTACTTACCAAATTGTGCTTGCGGGGGTTGAGTTCTGGCTCTTTGGTCCCGCCTCTCAACCGTCAATCAACAGGTGTAGAGGTTCCTGAGCCTACTGGGCTCTATCATATCTACACTTGAAACTGTGTATGGAGTCAGCCTCCGCCACATCACTGCCTAGTGCATTCCATTTATTAACTACTCTGACACTAAAAAAATTATTTCTAATGTCTTTATGGCTCATTTGGGCACTCAATTTCCACCTGTGTCCCCTTGTGTTAAATAGCCTGTCTTTATCTACCCTATTAATTCATTTGAAAATCATATATGTGGTGATCATGGTCTCCCTAACTCTCCTGTCTTCAGCGACGAGATTTAATTCCCGTAATTTCTCCTCATAATTCATGTCCCCTCAGTTCGGGCACTAGTATTGTGGCAAACCTGTAAGCCTTCTCTAAATTAGTTTTATGCTTGACCAGATATGGACTCCATGCTGGAGCCGCATACTCCAGGATTGGTCTGACATACGTGGTATACAAAGTTCTGAATGATTCCTTACACAAGTTTCTAAATGCCGTTCTTATGTTAGCCAACCTGGCATATGCCGCTGATATTATCCTCTTGATATGGGCTGCAGGAGACAGGTCTGGCGTGATATCAACCCCCAGGTCTCTCTCTCTCTGATTCTAGAAGAATTTCATTTTCTAAATGATACCTTGTATCTGCCCTTTTGCTCCCTGCACCTATCTTCATTAAATTACACTTGGTTGGGTTAAACTCTAACAACCATTTGTTCGAACATTCCTTCAGTTTGTCTAGGTCTTCTTGAAGCCTCAAGCTGTCCTCTTGTCTTAATCCTTCTCATAATTTTGGCATCATCAGCAAACATTGAGAGGAATGAGTCTATACCTCCAGGGAGATGATTTACGTATATCAGAAACAAGATAGGACCGAGAACAGAGCCCTGTGGGACTCCACTGGTGACTTCACGCCAATCTGAGGTCTCACCCCTCACCGTAACTCTCTGCTTCCTATTGCTTAGGTACTCCCTTATCCACTGGAGCACCCAGTACTCCAGGACGTGGAAGGGGGTGAGGAGTGTGGTGTGGCAGGGGTGAGGGGATGTGGTAGTGGGTTATGGGTGTGGTGTGGGCGAGATGGTGGGATGTAGGGTAATGATTGAGGGTGTGGTGTAGTGTGGGGTGTGATGTGGTGTTGTAGAGTGTAGTCTGGTGTATGTTGGAGTGTCGTGGGTGTAACGTGTGTGTGGGTGTAACGTGTGTGTGTGTGTGTGTGTGTGTGTGTGTGTGTGTGTGTGTGTGTGTGTGTGTGTGTGTGTGTGTGTGTGTGTGTGTGTGTGTGGTGTACACTGGTGTGAGGGCACCGGAGGTTGTCACCTGAGGGTGTGGAGGTGGACCTTTAGGGTGTTGTCAAGACCTCGAGTGTGACCTATGGGTGTGGAGGTGTACCTTTAGGGTGTTGTCAAGACCTCGAGTGTGACCTAAGGGTGTTGAGGTGGACCTTTAGGGTGTTCATTTTACCATTCTAAAACATCCTATTCATATATATTAATTAACCACGCACTACCACTCACAACTTGAACTATTGCACGATTGCTATCTACTTCAACATGAACAACTGAACATAATGTTACTGTTCAGGGAGCCGGTCGGCCAAGCGGACAGCACACTGGACTTGTGATCCTGTGGTCCTGGGTTCGATCCCAGGCGAGAAACAATGGGCAGAGTTTCTTTCACCCTATGCCCCTGTTACCTAGCAGTAAAATAGGTACCTGGGTGTTAGTCAGCTGTCACGGGCTGCTTCCTGGGGGTGGAGGCCTGGTCGAGGACCGGGCCGCGGGGACACTAAAAAGCCCCGAAATCATCTCAAGATACCCATCTCTTAAGACATATCTTAACTACTTCCACTCTTACGGTTCAAAACATTCATTTAGTAGGATGAACAACATCACGCAACTTTATAGGACAGTCACATTCGTACGCAATCCTAGAAAAAACTATCTGCTCTCGTCTTTAGGTCGACTTGGACTTAAGACCTATCAATCTCTGGAGGGTTATTAAGGCCAATACAATACTTTACTGACCAACCAGCAAGTTTGGTGTTGGACTTAAGACCTATCAACCTCTGGAGGGTTATTAAGACCATCACAATACCTTACTCACCAACCAACAAGTTTGGTGTTGGACTTAAGACCTATCAACCTTTGGAGGGTTATTAAGACCACCACAATACCTTACTGACCAACCAACAAGTTTGGTGTTGGACTTAAGGCCTATCAACCTCTGGAGGGTTATTAAGACCACCACAATACCTTACTGACCAACCAGCAAGTTTGGTGTTGGACTTAAGACCTATCAACCTCTGGAGGGTTATTAAGACCACCACAATACCTTACTGACCAACCAGCAAGTTTGGTGTTGGACTTAAGACCTATCAACCTCTGGAGGGTTATTAAGACCACCACAATACCTTACTGACCAACCAGCAAGTTTGGTGTTGGACTTAAGACCTATCAACCTCTGGAGGGTTATTAAGACCACCACAACACCTTACTGACCAACCAGCAGCAAGTTTGGTGTTGGGCTTAAGACCTATCAACCTCTGGAGGGTTATTAAGACCACCACAATACCTTACTGACCAACCAGCAGCAAGTTTGGTGTTGGACTTAAGACCTATCATCCTCTGGAGGGTTATTAAGACCACCACAATACCTTACTGACCAACCAGCAGCAAGTTTGGTGTTGGACTTAAGACCTATCAACCTCTGGAGGGTTATTAAGACCACCACAATACCTTACTGACCAACCAGCAAGTTTGGTGTTGGACTTAAGACCTATCAACCTCTGGAGGGTTATTAAGACCACCACAATACCTTACTGACCAACCAGCAGCAAGTTTGGTGTTGGACTTAAGACCTATCAACCTCTGGAGGGTTATTAAGACCACCACAGCACCTTACTGACCAACCAGCAAGTTTGGTGTTGGACTTAAGACCTATTAACCTCTGGAGGGTTATTAAAACCACCACAATACCTTACTGACCAACCAACAAGTTTGGTGTTGGACTTAAGACCTATCAACCTCTGGAGGGTTATTAAGACCACCACAATACCTTACTGACCAACCAGCAGCAAGTTTGGTGTTGGACTTAAGACCTATCAACCTCTGGAGGGTTATTAAGACCACCACAACACCTTACTGACCAACCAGCAAGTTTGGTGTTGGACTTAAGACCTATCAACCTCTGGAGGGTTATTAAGACCACCACAATACCTTACTGACCAACCAGCAGCAAGTTTGGTGTTGGACTTAAGACATATCAACCTCTGGAGGGTTATTAAGACCACCACAATACCTTACTGACCAACCAGCAAGTTTGGTGATGGACTTAAGACCTATCAACCTCTGGAGGGTTATTAAGACCACCACAATACCTTACTGACCAACCAGCAGCAAGTTTGGTGTTGGACTTAAGACCTATCAACCTCTGGAGGGTTATTAAGACCACCACAATACCTTACTGACCAACCAGCAGCAAGTTTGGTGTTGGACTTAAGACCTATCAACCTCTGGAGGGTTATTAAGACCACCACAACACCTTACTGACCAACCAGCAGCAAGTTTGGTGTTGGACTTAAGACCTATCAACCTCTGGAGGGTTATTAAGACCACCACAATACCTTACTGACCAACCAGCAAATATAATATCATTCTTGTCCCCTGCCCAAGAATAATATAAGCTCAGTACATGTACACCAAGATGCGAGGGATATGTACACCTCTGTGTACATATCCTTTCAATTCCAGGTTTAATACTAGGTGGAGATAGTACACAAAGCTGCCACCAGTTGTCCCAGCAAATCCTTATAACATGTCTCAAATGCTGGCTAATCCACCGGGCTATGCTCATCCAAGCTCCGGATGATCTATGCTCATCCATGCTCCGGATGATCTATGCTCATCCAAGCTCCGGATGATCTATGCTCAACCAAGCTCCGGATGATCTATGCTCATCCAAGCTCCGGATGATCTATGCTCATCCAAGCTCCGGATGATCTATGCTCATCCAAGCTCCGGATGATCTATGCTCATCCAAGCTCCGGATGATCTATGTTCATCCAAGCTCCGGATGATCTATGCTCATCCATGCTCTGGCCGTCCTCCAAGGAGCATTCTGTCAATAACTTCATAATGTTTAATAAATCACTATAGCTTCTCATATATTATAACCTATATATATATATATATATATATATATATATATATACGTTAATATTTAGTGAATAGTTAAATCTAGGGTGGGTTAGGTTAGGTATTCTAACCTAACCTTAGGTTAGTAAGGTTAATACCTAACCTAACCTTAGGTTAGGTTAGGTATTAGGTTTTGATATTCATCAAACAACCTCTTACGAAACCTGTTCATCTTTACTCAATCATGGTGGCTGTGTTTACAACAATTAAACAGTTTATGAGCACTGAAGCACAAAGAGAATGTTTATAACAATAATACCCGTTGGGTTGTGAAGCTTTGAAGATCGTCAAATGTTTAATAAACGTATATGACATGAGTGAGGAAAGATGAAGCGGTTTCGTCAGTAGTTGTGCAAATGCTTGACGAGCGGTGGCCCTGATCGTGAAATATTACAACTATGTCTCTCTCTGTGCATGAGAATTGCAACATCGGGGTCAGACGGCAATCCTGCGAATCTTCGCAATGTTTTGCATCAGAACGGTTCGCTGGAGCGCGCGTACAGCTTGTCCTCGCTGGGTACTGAGCGTACCGTGACGCCCCGCGCACGCCGCCCCGCGCACGTCGCGGTGATCCGCGGTGACGTGACGTTGATGGCTGTGACTCTGTAACACGTCAGGTGTTATGTTGAGCAAGTATGGCTAACCTTACCTCACTGGGGGGTCGGGTGTGTGATGCACACCTGCGTGATCACACACCTGCCTGGCTCCCGGCCTCACAGCTAAGCCTCCTGCCTCCCCCACAGCTAAGCCTCCTGCCTCGCCCACAGCTAAGCCTGCTCCCTCGCCCACAGCTAAGCCTGCTCCCTCGCCCACAGCTAAGCCTGCTGCCTCGCCCACAACTAAGCCTGCTCCTTCGCCCACAGCTAAGACTGCTCCCTCGCCCACAGCTAAGCCTCCTGCCTCGCCCACAGCTAAGCCTCCTGCCTCGCCCACAGCTAAGCCTCCTGCCTCGCCCACAGCTAAGCCTCCTGCCTCGCCCACAGCTAAGCCTGCTCCCTCGCCCACAGCTAAGCCTGCTGCCTCGCCCACAGCTAAGCCTGCTCCCTCGCCCACAGCTAAGACTGCTCCCTCGCCCACAACTAAGCCTCCTGCCTCGCCCACAGCTAAGCCTCCTGCCTCGCCCACAGCTAAGCCTCCTGCCTCGCCCACAGCTAAGCCTCCTGCCTCGCCCACAGCTAAGCCTCCTGCCTCGCCCACAACTAAGCCTCCTGCCTCGCCCACAGCTAAGCCTCCTGCCTCGCCCACAGCTAAGCCTCCTGCCTCGCCCACAACTAAGCCTGCTCCCTCGCCCACAGCTAAGCCTGCTCCCTCGCCCACAGCTAAGCCTGCTGCCTCGCCCACAGCTAAGCCTGCTGCCTCGCCCACAGCTAAGCCTGCTGCCTCGCCCACAGCTAAGCCTCCTGCCTCGCCCACAACTAAACCTGCTCCCTCGCCCACAACTAAGCCTCCTGCCTCGCCCACAGCTAAGCCTCCTGCCTCGCCCACAGCTAAGCCTGCTCCCTCGCCCCATACCTCGCCCACAGCTAAGCCTGCTCCCTCGCCCCATACCTCGCCCACAGCTAAGCCTGCTGCCTCGCCCACAGCTAAGCCTCCTGCCTCGCCCAAAACTAAGCCTCCTGCCTCGCCCACAGCTAAGCCTCCTGCCTCGCCCACAGCTAAGCCTCCTGCCTCGCCCACAGCTAAGCCTGCTCCCTCGCCCACAGCTAAGCCTCCTGCCTCGCCCACAGCTAAGCCTCCTGCCTCGCCCACAACTAAGCCTGCTCCCTCGCCCACAGCTAAGCCTGCTCCCTCGCCCACAGCTAAGCCTGCTGCCTCGCCCACAGCTAAGCCTGCTCCCTCGCCCCACAGCTAAGCCTCCTGCCTCGCCCACAGCTAAGCCTGCTGCCTCGCCCACAGCTAAGCCTCCTGCCTCGCCCACAACTAAGCCTCCTGCCTCGCCCACAGCTAAGCCTCCTGCCTCGCCCACAACTAAGCCTCCTGCCTCGCCCACAGCTAAGCCTCCTGCCTCGCCCACAGCTAAGCCTGCTCCCTCGCCCACAGCTAAGCCTGCTGCCTCGCCCACAGCTAAGCCTGCTCCCTCGCCCCACAGCTAAGCCTCCTGCCTCGCCCACAGCTAAGCCTCCTGCCTCGCCCACAACTAAGCCTCCTGCCTCGCCCACAGCTAAGCCTCCTGCCTCGCCCACAGCTAAGCCTCCTGCCTCGCCTACAGCTAAGCCTCCTGCCTCGCTGCTGATAGCAGCTTTGTTTACGTTTATTAAACGGTTTACAAGGCTCACAACCGAATTATTATTATCGTTATAAACAACCTCGTATAGTGCTATAGTGCTAAGTGCTCCTCCTATAGGGCTCCTAATGTAATGAGTGCCAAAAAGCCGCCATGATGGAGGAAAGATGTACAGGTTTCGCAGTAGATGTGTGAATTTGCAGGGCGTTGTGACACCGGCAAGGAAGACTTGGTGTGTGTGGGCACGCCTCAACAACAGTCATGTTGGTCACAGAGCAAGTTGTGTTGAAGCCTTTATCTAAATACTCTTTCTCACCCATCCAACCATTGTCACCCATCACCATCCATTAACTCGGCCCTAAATCTATCCACCCATTACTACCCACTATCCACCCATTACTACCCACTATCCACCCATTACTACCCACTATCCACCCATTACTACCCACTATCCACCCATTACTACCCACTATCCACCCATTACTACCCACTATCCACCCATTACTACCCACTATCCACCCATTACTACCCACTATCCACCCATTACTACCTACTATCCACCCATTACCACCTACTATCCACCCATTACTACCCACTATCCACCCATTACCGCCTACTATCCACCCATTACTACCCACTATCCACCCATTACCACCTACTATCCACCCATTACCACCCACTATCCACCCATTACTACCCACTATCCACCCATTACTACCCACTATCCACCCATTACTACCCACTATCCACCCATTACTACCCACTATCCACCCATTACTATCCACTATCCACCCATTACTACCCACTATCCACCCATTACTACCCACTATCCACCCATTACCACCTACTATCCACCCATTACCACCCACTATCCACCCATTACCACCCACTATCCACCCATTACCACCCACTATCCACCCATTACCACCCACTATCCACCCATTACCACCCACTATCCACCCATTACCACCCATCCAACTGCCCACCACACATTAACTAGACACCATTACCAGAAACCTGACCTCCATTGACCCCTGGCCACCCCCCCCCAACCGGCGTTAATCACCACGCCACAAACGACTTTAACCACCCATAACCCATTACCCCCCCCGCCCCCCCCCTAACAATCTAACAGCTATCCCAAAGCTCTATAACATCAACATCCTCCAATTCGGCAGTTACGACCCTAAGCCGGCGCTCGGCAGCACCGCTCTTAACAGCGGAGGTAATTACACAGATGAAGACGAATGTCAGTGCTTAGTTGATGCTCGTAAAGCCACGAGATATATATATATATATATATATATATATATATATATATATATATATATATATATATATATATATATAAAGTTTTACAGTGACATGACAAGAATGCTGTGCGGGGACCGGGCCGCAGGGGACGCTAAGCCCCGAAATCATCTCAAGGTAGCCTCAAGATAGGGGTTAAGCCGGAAGTTCGAGCCTAGTTCAATATTTTCACAAATAACTTGTGTTATGAACAAGAACTACAATTAGGGAAATGAATGAATGAATGAACTATTAAGGGAAAGCGTCAAGCCATTACGACTATATAGCACTGGGAAGGGGTCAGGATAAGGATTTGGGATGGGACGGGGGGAAAGGAATGGTGGCCAACCACTTGTGGACGGTCGAGGATTGAACGCCGACCTGAATGAGGCGAGACCGTCGCTCTACCGTTCCACCCAATACAATTAGGGAAAGCACACTGCATTATCGACATCTGTTCATGAAAAGGTATTGAGACCTTGGGGAGGCGAGATGCGGATTCCATCCCGTTTAAGAAATTCATCTTCGAACTCAACATCCTCTGGAGCAGGCAGTGACTCGTCGCTAATTGGTGGGTGTTACTTCGACCATATCACACACCCTCACACTGAATCACTTCGTCGAAAAGTCGCCAACGGAACGCATTCGCAAGTAGACTTCAAGCGCCAAAATCAACATTCGCGTATCTGCGCCAAGAAATCGCGATGCTTCTGTGGAACGCGATTTCCGTAGCCCAGGCGGTCAACACGCAACTGTTAACTCATTAATCAGATTATATAAAGCAAAAGAGTTACCTTCTCAAGAATAAAACAGAGGAAAGGAAACTATCAGGGGGAAAGCACCAAGCCATTACGACTATATAGCACTTGGAAGGGGTCAGGATAAGGATTTGGGATGGGACGGGGGGAAAGGAATGGTGCCCAACCACTTGTGGACGGTCGGGGCTTGAACGCCGACCTACATGAAGCGAGACTGTCGCTCTACCGTCCTGCCCAAGAGGAATAAAGAAAGATAAACGGAAATTATGAGAGATTTTGAGCGTCGTGAAGCACCCTAGAGGCGCGCCTTCACCCGTGGACATCGACATGCTTAAGGATATTGAACGTGGGATACGCCCCAATCCACGACTCTTTTGTATAAGGAAGTGGTGCTGAGCAACGCGTAAGAACCGAAGACAGTGTGAGAAGATTTTGAGATCGAGGAAGGGAGATCCTCGAAGTACATTTTGAGATCGAGGAAGGGAGATCCTCGAAGTACATTTTGAGATTGAGGAAGCGAGATCCTCGAAGTACAATTTGAGATTGAGGAAGGGAGATCCTCGAAGTACAATTTGAGATCGAGGAAGGGAGATCCTCGAAGTACAATTTGAGATCGAGGAAGGGAGATCCTCGAAGTACATTTTGAGATCGAGGAAGGGAGATCCTCGAAGTATATTTTGAGATCGAGGAAGGGAGATCCTCGAAGTACAATTTGAGATCGAGGAAGGGAGATCCTCGAAGTACATTTTGAGATCGAGGAAGGGAGATCCCCGAAGTATATTTTGAGATCGAGGAAGGGAGATCCTCGAAGTACAATTTGAGATCGAGGAAGGGAGATCCTCGAAGTACATTTTGAGATCGAGGAAGGGAGATCCTCGAAGTATATTTTGAGATCGAGGAAGGGAGATCCTCGAAGTACATTTTGAGATCGAGGAAGGGAGATCCTCGAAGTACATTTCGAGATCGAGGAAGGGAGATCCTCGAAGTATATTTTGAGATCGAGGAAGGGAGATCCCCGAAGTACAATTTGAGATCGAGGAAGGGAGATCCTCGAAGTATATTTTGAGATCGAGGAAGGGAGATCCTCGAAGTATATTTTGAGATCGAGGAAGGAAGATCCTCGAAGTACAATTTGAGATCGAGGAAGGGAGATCCTCGAAGTATATTTTGAGATCGAGGAAGGGAGATCCTCGAAGTATATTTTGAGATCGAGGAAGGGAGATCCTCGAAGTACATTTTGAGATCGAGGAAGGGAGATCCTCGAAGTACATTTCGAGATCGAGGAAGGGAGATCCTCGAAGTACATTTCGAGATCGAGGAAGGGAGATCCCCGAAGTACATTTCGAGATCGAGGAAGGGAGATCCTCGAAGTACATTTCGAGATCGAGGAAGGGAGATCCTCGAAGTACATTTTGAGATCGAGCAAGGGAGATCCCGAAGTACATTTTGAGATTGAGGAAGGGAGATCCCGAAGTACATTTTGAGATTGAGGAAGGGAGATCCCGAAGTACATTTTGAGATTGAGGAAGGGAGATCCCGAAGTACATTTTGAGATTGAGGAAGGGAGATCCCGAAGTACATTTTGAGATTGAGGAGTGTTCAGGTATGGAGTGCTAACAATTTAGATTTTGCTTAATTTCGAATAAATTAATTAGTTAATAATCTGCATTTTCATTATTTCCATGTGTTTGTTATATGTACGTGAATTGGTCCTTTTCACGTGGTTCCCACGATGCAGAGTTGAATTGGGCGCCGATTCTAACATCGAATCAGGATTATCATTCCCGGATTTGTAATTAATTCCACACTTAAGACCCAAAGGGTATCGGTTACTAGTGGGGATCAAGCCCCAAGGTTGATTAATTAGCATGATCGATCCAGACCTCGATCATTGCTCAGTGCAAGGTCTGGTGGTGGCAGCGTACAGGCGACTCTAGGGTTTTGCTAGAAGCCTAGTCCACGTCATACGGGATGTAGAATCTCAAGTCGGTAAATCGGCTTGAGACCACGTGGCGTGGGGTCGGCTCAAGTGAAAGTTTTGGGGTCCCTTGGTAAAGAACTAAAAGTAAGAATACGGGAAGAGGGAGAAAAGGAGGAAAGATCATTCGAGAACACCCCCCCCCCCCCCCGTGTTATACAGCGGTCACCATAGGAGACGCAAATCACACAATCACCTTCCTTCTTCACCCCAGGATTCATCAAGCGTATACGCAACAATTTACGAAACCTGTACATCTTTCCTCAATCATGGCGGCTTTGTTTACATGCATTAATTAAACAGTTTACAAGCTTGGGGACTCCACAACCCAAGGTTGTTATTGTTATAAACAACCTCGTAGTGCTTCGGGGCTCATTAACAATTAATTAAATGTCAACTTACACGGCATGATTGTGGAAAGATGCACAGGTTTCGTAAAGAATTGTGTAAATACTTAATACAAAAATGAAGGTGAATCTATACGGGAGGTAAAAGCGAGTCCGCACAGCCGTAGTATTGACCCGTAAGGTCAATACGTAAGGTCAATACGTAAGGTCAATACGTAAGGTCAATACGTAAGGTCAATACGTAAGGTCAATACG